ACAATGTGCGTGAACTACTGCAGTGTTTTGGTGCAGTTTGTACGTCTGTGTGAACTGCTGCAGTGTTTGGTGCAATTTGTACGTCTGTGCGTGAACTACTTCAGTGTTACGGTGCGGTTTATACGGCTGTGTGAACTACTTCAGTGTTTTGGTGCGGTTTGTACGGCTGTGCGTGAACTATTTCAGTGTTTTCGTGCAGTTTGTACATCTGCGTGAACTACTTCAATGTTTTCGTGCGGTTTGTACGGCTGTGCGTGAACTACTTCAGTGTTTTCGTGCAGTTTGTACATCTGCGTGAACTACTTCAGTATTTTGGTACACTTTGTACGCCTGTGCGTGAACTGCTTCAGTGTTTTCGTGCAGTTTGTACATCTGCGTGAACTACTTCAGTATTTTGGTACACTTTGTACGCCTGTGCGTGAACTGCTTCAGTGTTTTCGTGCAACTTGTACGTACAGGCTTAACCATTTGCATTTGGAATAAGCAGCAATGACAGTGTACAGCAGAACAGCGAGCTGTGAAACTAGTTCACTGCAGCAGTCTTCACTGAAAGTCGATTGATGCTTGAAAATATCGCTGTTTGACAGTTTGAATTGAGCACTGTATCACAGAGCGTAGGTTGGGGGTCAGTAACCTGTGAAGTGAAGGAAACGGGACTTGCAGGCCAGGAGTAGTGGGAACTTCTCTGTGTTATTTGAACCGAATACGGCATTTCCCATTTATTGTTACTGTTATTTTACGCCACGTTATGGGGAACGAAGATAGCTCAGTCGGTATAGCGACAGGCTTCGGGCTGGACAGCCGGGGTTCAGTTCCTGCCAAGGGCTAGAAATTTTTTCTACTCCACAGCGTGCAGACCGGCTCTGGGGCACACACAGCTCCCCTTATCAGTGGGTACCGGGGTCTGTTTCACCGGAGGTAAGGCGGCCGTGGCATGAAGTCGCCCACTCACCTCCATTCACTGTCCCATACTTCTTCATGGCATAGTGCTTAATTGCTTAATTAATTAAGCACAGCGACAGATTTACTTTTTGCAGGGTGTCGTGCCCGTGAGTCAAGATTAAGTCATGCCCATAAGGCTCATCACGTAAAAGCTTCATGGAAAATACAGTAGCTTTTAAATGAAATGAAATTGAGTTCTGCTTTAACGTCTTTCGCAAGGCGTGTACTATTACCAGACTGGGAGCTTTTGTAGGTCTCCGCTGCAGTTATCATCATTAATATTATTTCGAATAGAATATCTGATTGGCTCAGTCCCAGACAGGTGCAGGGTTTTTCTTATTTCCACCACGACTGCGCACCTCCCTATCCAGTGTGTATCGAGGATAATTTTCCCGGAATAAAGCAGCCGGAGCGCGAATCTCAACTCACTTTCGTATAGATCCAAGGCTGAGACTGCTTCTGTGGCTTTATCTTAATGCACCTAGACGCTTTCATGATGTAATGCTTCGAAACAGGAAAACTATAATTATTGGAGGCACGTGGTAGCGTAGTTGGTTGAGGCACTATGCTACAAGCCGGAAGGTCGCGGGTTCAAGTCCCGATGAGATCATGGGATTTCTTTCAGTTGACCTAATCCTTTCAGCCGCACTATGGCCCTGGGGTCGACTCAGCCTCTAACAGAAATGAGTACCATGAATTAATTAAATAATTTTCGTGGGGAGTAAATCGCGGCCGGCGCGTAAGGCTGACAACCTTACCCCCATCTGTGAGCCAGTTGTCTAGATAATGTGGGACCCTCAACGTGTCACAGCCCCTATGGGCCTTAACGGCCTGTTACAGGGATAGATTTATTTTTTACTTTGTTATTATTATTATTATTATTAGTAGTAGTAGTAGTAGTAGTAGTAGTAGTAGTAGTAGTAGTAGTAGTAGCAGTAGCAGTGCCGATCACATTGGCTGCGCGTTCTAAGGCATGAACTGTCTTCGCTTGCTCTAACGCTGGGATGGTGGGTTGGAATCCCGCTCGAGGCATAATGTCTTTGTGCGTTTATTCTGTGTTTGTGTCGTTCTGTGTGTAGGTAGTGGCCTTCCGACGGGCTGATCCCCCGTCCAAGGAGTCCTGCCGAGTGTGTAAAAAGATTAAGAAACCGAGAAAGCGGCCAGGGTCCACTTAGGGCTGTAGAGCCATAGATAGTAGTCGAAGCAGCAACAGTAGGAATTCGTACGTGTCAGTTGAGGCACAAAAACCCGAAGAGTTGATGAATTATAAATCCCTAATGACTTTGTTGTGTAGTGCTTCGATTTTTTTTTCCGATTGAATTAGAATTTGCTTGCAGACCTTAAAATATAAATCTGATAAATGGAAAACCAGTCGAAGTTTCGATAGAACGGGCTTCCCACATGGTTGGTACCTCTCATTTTGTTATTTACCTCGGCGATGGATACAAATTCAACTGTTTATGGGTTAAGATTTTCAGCCGCTCCCCTTACGTGCAGTACTGTCGTCGCCGAGGGATGCTAGAACACTACGTCGTGGGTAGTATCACAATTGTAGTTGTATCCATGAACAGGAGGCGAGTCAAATGTTGCGGTCAGTATGGATCGATTATTGGGGGAGGGGGCAACATTTGGTTGCTCCAAGCACTCACACCACTACTGGGTCCTTTGTTTTCAGTGCGGTCATTCAAAAGGGCCCCGTCCTCAGTGCTAGATCCAGAACCTGTTGATACATATCGGCGCAAACCGTGCAGGGCCGAAAATCGTCATTGTGACCCCCGTTCCAAAACTGGGAAGTGACGTAGTGTTTGTTGGGAGGATTCCAACTGCGCATCATATTTTCTGCATATAACATATCCCAGAGGCTGTTAATCTTGCAGTAAATGCTGTTGCACATCAACACTCTTGTTACCAGTCTGTACTGTTTCCTGAACAAGGACAGTACCTCGTGTTCGGTTTCGGATTTTGGCCCGGAGACAGTCTACTAAATTAAGGTTTCCTTTTTTGGTCTACCTAAGCGCCTCCAGGCTTAGGAAACTTTCCAGGCCACGCGGTAGCGTAGTTGGCTGATGCACTACGCTACAAGCCGGAAGGTCGCGGTTTCGATTCAAGATGAGGTCATTAGATTTTTCAATTGATCTAATTCTTTCAGCCTTACTATGGCCTTAGGATCCACCCAACCTCTAACAGAAATGAGTACCAGGAATTTTTGGGGAAAAAAAAAGCGGCCGGCGCGTAAGGCTGACAACCTCACCGCCATCTGTGAGCCGATTGTCTAGAGAAAATATTATGAGCCTCGACGTCTCACAATCCTATGTGCCTTCGCGGCCTGTTACAGGAATAGCTTTGCCTTCTGTAAGCGCCTCCGGGCAAATGGTGAGATGTGCCCGAAGTTAGGCAACGGCTGCTTCTCTTCACGTCCTCTTTTACTAATCATTCTATCATACGAAGCTGTATAGTCTAATCTATTTGAAATAACGAAAGCAATAAGAAGGGGTGTTAGTAAGGCCCCAGCATTGCGATAGCAGTATTTTCCAGGATTCCTGATCCAAAATTTAGTAATTAATACTCTGCTGTGTGTGCAGCTGGAATGCTGGTACATATCGAGATAAAATAATGGAAAATCTAAGAAACTGAGAAATAGAATTTGTGTTGACTACATTGAAAGATCTTCAGTTGGCAACACTGAATGTTCTTCCGTTTGTTTACAATCTGTAGTGCTTGTGTAAGTGCATTAGTGATTATATTGACTGACGGACCATGTGAAAAATCGGAACATGGGAGATTTGATCGATTTTGAAAGAGGACAGATCATTTGTGCTCGTTTAGCTGGAATATCTGTGACGAAAACTGCCACATTAGTCAGCATATCGAGACCGACAGTTTCTACGTGACACATCATGGGAAGACAACATCAGCGAAGAGGAAGGGTGGGCAAAAATCAACACTGACAAAGAAATCGTCATACATCGAGAAGGGTTCTTTCCTAAAATCACAGAACTTCTGCAGCACAGCTGAACTGAATATTCATCTTGAAGACCCTGTTTCCACAGAAACTGTCCGACTCGAGCTTCACAAATCCAACATCCTCGGTAGGGCTGGAGTTGCTGGCAGTAATACCCAGATACGTAAACGATAATGTCAGGAGCATAAATCCTGGAAACGCGGTCATATGAATCGTCCTTCACGCAGTTCCCTACATCAGGAAAGTTTACGTTTGAAGGACACCCAAGGAAGCCTACAATTCGGAATGCATTTCTGGTTTCAGCAGTGAAACACAAGGCAGTTCTGTGATGGTTTGTGCAGCAGTGTCTTGATGCAGTTTCTGTTGGTTCCATTATTACCCTTCATGGCAAATTACTGCAAGGGAGTAGGAGGACATGTTGGGTAATTAGGTGCATCCCAGGAACCAGACGTTATTTCCGAACAACGATGCAGTTTTCCAAGACGAAAATGCCACGTCCACACAGCTGGAAGTATTCAGTCACGGTTTGAAGAACGTGAAGGTGAATTTCATCATCTTCCCTGGTCAGTAGATCGCCAGGTTTCAACATCATTGAACCACTCTGGTCAGTTTTGGAGACGAGAGTAGGGAACAGATTCCAACCTCCAACATCTCTGAAGTCACTTGATTATGTTCTTCAAGAAGAGTGGTACAAAATTCCGCTGGAGACTGTTCGAAACTTGTACGAGTCCATACCAAGAATGGTTACGGGTGTGTTGAAGACAAAAGGTAGTCCATATTAATAAAGAAATGTGTACTGTGCCTGTAGTGTTTCCATTACTTTGGGCAACCCCTGTATATTTCTGCACTTTGAGAATCACAGTGATATTCTACCGAACGAATTGCCTAAGACGATTAGAAATAGTAACCTTGCTGCGTGTTTCATCTAATCGGGGCAAACAAACAAGAACCTCACGTAGCAAGTGAACTGTGTCTCTCAGCATTTTAGGTATACTTTCCGGAAGTGACATCAGATTCCTGCATGGTGGCGTAGTAGGGTCTGGATGATGACATGTGCAGCTTGTGACTGAAATCGGTTTCTTGTTTTGTTTTGCAGGTGTCCAAAGTGAAGGTTCAGGAGTGTAACGTGTACAAGACGTGCTGGGACTGTCTTGGTGCTAAGGACCCATACTGTGGCTGGTGCTCGCTGGAAAATAAGTATGAACATATCAGTAGTGTGCTTTCTTTACGAATTTATTTTGTATAGTGTTACCATGTAGTAGCGTAGTTGCTTGAGGCATTATGTTACAAGCTGGAAGGTCGCGGGTTCGGTACCCGATGAGGTCATTAGATTTTTCAATTGACCTAATCCTTCTAGCCGCACTGTGGCCCTGGGGTCGACTTAGCCTCTAACAGAGATGTCCGACTGGAGAGTAAGGCTTACATTCTCACCGCCATCTGTGAGCCGATTGTTTATAAAATGTGGGAACCTCGACGTCTCGCCACCCTGTGGGCCTTTCGCGGCCTGTTACAGCGATAGTTTTGACTCTCTCTCTCTCTCTCTCTCTCACCACGTACTACATACATTCCCCAAACTATGCTTAGAGGTCAGACCTGGCTGTGAAATTCAGTGCATGACAAAACTCAGTCGTGGAGTGGCACCCTCAGTAACTTGCGATGTTCATTCCTCCCTTTCGTGGCATTCCAGGTGCCGTCATGGGGTGTGGATTGGTGGAGTTATTTACATAAGGAAACTTAATTAAAACCGAAGCTCAGTCAGTATAGTGACCAGACTACGGAATGGACAACGAGGAATTGGGCTTCGTTTCGCAGGAGGGGCAAGAGACTTTCTCATTTTGCCTAAGGTCCGTGCTGTCCCTGGGGCCCCACCCATTCCTCAGTTCAGTAGGTATGATGGATGCCGGGGGCTCTTTCCTCGGAGGGACATGACGCTGACCGCTCCCATATGGTGCCTAGGTTAAGAATTTTTCTTCGTTGCGTGGTGCTTAACTGATTAAGCCCATGGATTAACTTCATTAAGACTGAAAGAAAAGAGAGACATTGCTTTGGTATTCCTTATGAGCCCATATGTTTAGTTTGCAGTCGATGATGGTTCCTCTGCGAATACCAAACTCTTAATGTCGCTCTCAGACGATGTGTCTTCGTTGTAACCGGCGGGGAACAGTGGATTATTATTCTGGGGCTTAAAATTATATTCCTTGACGCTTCGCCATTGGGCAGGTCTTTACAAGGCCGCGCGTGTTTGAGCCTGTGGGTTAAGTGTGAGACTTGACAAGAAATGGGTGCAGTTGCATTGTAAGAGAAGGGAATAGTGAGCTTTTGTTTGGCTAACCCATACACATCGGACAGTCATGATCTCAGATGGTGGACTTACACAGAATGCACTCTGCGGTCTGTTGAGAATGGTCACATCTAAACGCCTACAGTGCAAGAGAGTATACTGTGACATGCAGACCCATTGCTAGGGAACGCGCCGGTAAACAAGCCCGCTACAAGTTCGCAACCAACAATAGAGTAGACTCATTTCTAGGCTGCGCCCACAATACACACATGCAACAATAGAACCGGTGTTGGAAGTGGTGTTTTCTATATGGGTTCGCATATATCCATTGCTAGGCAACGGATGTGTTGTCTGTCGTGTGTTCCGACCTGAGGCTATAAAACGAGAAGCCAACAATAACTGACAGCTCAGTTGAGGGAAGGGAAGTGGCTGGTTTGCTGAGTGAGAGAGTTGAGTTCGCTAGGAAGTCAGAATAGTTCCCGTCAAGTGTCCTGTCGAAAAAAGATGACGGTGTGTCGGATAGTGATTTATGAACAACCGGTGAATATACATTTTCTTATGGATAGGGGAGTGAGAACCATGAATTAGGTACAGGTTTTTTTTGTACATAACAGAATCATATGAGCAGTTAAGAGGGTAGAGTTTGTTAGTGATAGGATGTCATGTATAATACCAAGAGGTCGCTGGTGTGGTATCATCGTTCTGAATGTTCATGCCCCAACAGAAGATAAAATTGACGATATAAAAGACAGGTTCTACGAGGAACTAGAACAGGTATTTGATAAATTCCCGAAGTACCCTATGAAAATTTTGTTAGGAGATTTCAATGCCGAAGTAGGGACGGAAGACATTTTCAAACCAAATGATTGGAAATGAGAGTTTGCATGAAATTAGTAATGATAATGGAGTTAGAGTAGTAAACTTGCCACTTCCAAAAATCTTACTGTCAAAAGTACATTGTTCCCACATCGTAACATTTGTAAATTTACTTGGAAATCTCCTGATGGGAACATACACAATCAAAGCTACCATATTTTGATAGAGAGGAGACGACATTCAAGTGTACTTGATGTCCGATCGTTCAGGGCAGCAGATTGTGATACTGACCACTACCTGGTGGTGGCAAGATAGAGAAAGACTGATAGTGAGTAAACAAACAACACACAGAGTTCATATGAAGAAGTTCAATCTCAAGAAATTAAATGAGGTAGAGAGTAAAGAGCAGTATCGTGTTGAAATCTCAAATAGGTTCAATGCTTCGGAAAACTTAGACACTGAGGTGGATATTAATAGAATTTGGGGAACGATTAGAGAGAATTTGAAAATTTGAACCAAAGCAACATAGCGGGCCACAAACACATACAGGACAACACCAAAGAACCCTCTTCTCGAGAACAAGGGGGCACACAAGAGGGACGACACGAACCCCCTTGGTTTACGAATTCCAGTTGAATCTTAACAGACTGTCAAAAAATATTTTAATGTATTGGAACAGCCGCTGTAGTTGTAAAGAATTTACAGCCAATTGTATATTATTTATATTGTATGTATGTATTTCAACTTTTAGAACATGTACTGTAATGGTGGCTTCTGATAATTGATGTAAAGATGTCCCTCTGAAGATGGTCTCTGAGGACCGAAACATGTAAGGGCGTAAATAATTGAAATAAGAAACCCATAACCAGTCACACAGGAGGGAACAGTTTAACTTTTTTCATAATATTAGTGTGACGGACCAGAATGAAACTAATCAGATTTACAAAAAACTATATTGTTCAGATAACCTCCTGTCCAATGGATACCGGAGGCTCTTTCCCCGGGGATGAAGTGGTAGGGTAGTGAAGCTGATCACTCACCTCCAGCTGTTGACGAGGTCAAGGAAACGTGGATCTATACATCCACTCCCCCATACACCTTCACGGCGTGTGTAATTAGTTAAGTAGAGGGAGGCCGTGGAAGGAAGGTGTCAAGGCCAAATTTGAGGGACAGTTCCAGCTTTTGCGTTGGGGGACTACAGATATCCACGTAGCAGGGCCCCTGACGTATATTTAGGTCTGGCGCCGCCCAGACGTTCGGTTTGTTATTGTTACTCTTGAAATTTTCTCATCAAGGGAAGGTTGAACATTGCAGTGACTGGTGCGGTTGAGTGGGTAGCACTGTGGCTTTGTGTTCAGGAGGGTCCGCATTCTAGTCCATGTGCACAGTCTCTTCGCCGAAACAGTGTGACCGATTCGTACCACGTTTGTTCCCAGTGGCCCTATATTGGGCCCAGGCCTCTTCTTCAGTGGGTGGGACTCCTTGGACGGGGGATCAGCCCGTCGCAAGGCCGCTACCTACACACGGAACAACACAAACACAGAGCAGACGCACACAGACATCCATACTTTGAGTGGAATTCGAACCCACGAGCCCTTAGACCACCGTGAACGGCTTCTCATTGATCATTTTATCCCTTATTGAGGTCTTTGTAAGCGATTTAGAAGAGTGTCGTTATGGAACTGATCAATCATGAATTTTTAATTGTTAGTAGATCCTGTATATTACATAGCAGTGTAATAGTGGTGTTTCGCCATTGAAAATTAAGTTCCATAATAGAGCCGGAATCCTTTTTGCAGAATACTGCACTGTTAACCTGCTACATTATATTTCAGGGTAATGTGAAAATGGGAAGAGAAGCAATTACCCCGAAGCAAAACAAATTGTGAATTCATAGAATAAAATTGTCTTGTTTTCACGAACCCTAGATTATCGGAACATTGTAATTTGCAAAGTTATTATGCACCAAGAGATTCGAGGTCACGTTTTGACTTGCGTTTTCCGAAGCGGTTGTAGTCCTACGGACAGCGTTGTTTTAGCTTTCGGATTGTTTGTACAGACCGCAATTCCTGTTCTGTGCAGGTGTCCCCCGCTCCTCCCACTGTGCTCTGCTGCATTCTTGGTGACGTCAAAATTGAAAGGCGAATGACACTCATATTTTTCTGGGTGATCACCTTTCGCACATCCCCTTAATGTTCAGAGTGTCATGGGAATGTGACTGCATGTGAGAACTGTTGCTGCTGAATTTTGTCTTCAGGAATGTGGAGACGGCATGCTCTTCCTTCCAGACGTCGATATCCGACTACAAGTTTGCACGGTGTCACGAACCAGAACTCCACACTCTGAACTGTTGCCTCCGTGAAACTCCCTAAACTTTTTATTTTTATATATATATTCTTTAGTGGGGTGAGACTTGAGTTCACTTGGTACTGCGTCCACTTCTGGCCTACTGTACCAGCCCCAGATAATAGGTGAGGGTGATTGTGGAGCAATTTGAGTAATGAAGATTGACGTGGGAAACCGAAGTACTCTGAGAAAACCTGCTCCAGCGTCACTTTGTCCACCGACCAGACCCGGGATCGAACCCGGACCGCCGCGGTGGGAAGCCAGCGACTAACCGCTTGAGCTATGGCACGGCCAACCTCTAAACTTAACGCCAATCTCGAAGGAAAAACTGCCTCCACATGTTTATCCGAAAGTTCAATATCCTACAAGACAGTGCGGTGTCAGAGCCCAGAAGACAAAGTGAGGATCCTCAGAGCTTACACTCGATCTTCTGCTTATCGGAAGTGAAGTAATTGGATCCATATGATGAGTGGATAGGGAGCCGGTATAGCGACTGGCTACAAGCTGGAACTACCGAGGTTCGGATTTTGAGTCCCGGTAAGGGTAAGAATTTTCTCATCCAGACCTCCTAATCAGTGGGTACTGGGGTCTCTTTCCCCGGGAGTAAAGCAGCCCTGGCGTGAAGCTGGACATTCACTTCCAGATAGTGCCGAGGTCTAGAAAATGTGGATCTTTGTATACATTCATTCCCCCATACGGCTTCATGGCGTAGTGCTTAATTAGTTAATCACAAGGACAACTTTACCTTACCTTTTACGATGACTGGATATGACCTCGCGACCAGTATGCGATTCCGGGCGTAGCGAGAGGCTTGTATCTTCATCTCCTTTCCAAGACCGGCTCTGATGTCCACCGAGCTACCGTCTGATTTGCTTGGAAGTGGAGTTTTTGACCACCGACCTCGTTACGACAAGTGACGTACGGACCCGCGGGCCTCATGCCGCGTCAGTTTTACGTGCAGCCCGCGAGTAAATTCCGCTAGCCAGAAAGCTAAGAATATTGCGTGTAAATGAATGAATCCGAAATATTTTGAAGCAGCAAATGCACGCTACTTGAATTAGAAACATTTACATCTGAACCCCAGAGTTACTGTCATATACAAGTGTAATGGAATATATGTTATGTTGGCGATAAAACGTGAAATAAATATCCCGTTAATACAGTAAGATCAGGTGGCTCGGCAGCGCTTATCGTCCTAACACGTAAGCACTTCTTAATTTGCCGATTTCGGGCTTTATTTCTTTTGGCTGCCAGCCTGAATTCTATTTCCTTTGTTGAGATGAAGTGAGATAACGTTAATTTGATTGAGTGTTGGATTTGACAAACCATAAAAATGTAAATGTATCCCTGTAACAGGCCGTGGATGCCCATAGGGTCGTGAAACGTCGAGGCTTCCCACATTTTCTCTGGACAGTCTGCTCACAGATGGCGGTGAGATTGTCTATCTTACGTTCCGGCCGCTCTTTACCTCCAGAAAGATTCTTTGTACTCATTCCTGTTAGAGGCTGAGCCCACCCCAAGGCCAAGTGCGGCTGGAAGGATGAGGTCAATTGGGAATGGAACCTGCGACCTTCCAGCTTGTAGAATAGTGCCTCAACCAGCTACAGTATCGCGTACCCCCTTTTTGACTGTCGAGATGTTGGTTTAAAAGTAGGATCTACATTTTCAGTAGTGTCCGGAATGTAGCGCCGTTTCTCTTTCCGTAGACGAGTATCTGCGTATTAAAGCTTTTTAAAATAAAGTAAACAACAGATAAAGTTAGAAATGAAGTCTGGAAATGATTTGGCTGTGTCGCGCATACACATGATTCAATATCTCAGTTCAGAAATATTAGAGACGCCGGTCACGGTAGCCGAGCGGTCTAAGGCATGTACTGTCTTCGCTCGCTTGGAAACCTGGATCGTGGGTTCGAATCCCACTCAGGACATGGATGTTTTGTGTGTGTGTGTTTTTCTGTGTTTGTGTACAGGTAGAGGCCTTGCGACGAGCTGATCACCCGCCCAAGGAGTCCTACCGAATGTGTAAGATCTAGAAAAACCGAAGTGAACGGAGAAGTTCATGGAGGTAGGCCTAGGCCCAAATGAGGGCTGTAGCGCCAATGAAAAAAATATTAGAGACTGTATTAATTAAATGTTAAGTCCCTGTGCTTAATTAGTTAAGCACTGTGCCATGAAGACATGTGGGCAGTGGATGTATAGCTCACCTTTCTTGACCTCGGCACTAGATGAAAGTTAGTGGCCAGCTTCACGCCCCGGGCGCTTTACCCCCGGGGGGAAGATCTCCTAGTACCCATTGGATAGGAGGCCAGTGGGCCCCAGAGTCGGTCGGGACTCTGTAGGGAAGAGAAAGATCTTGCACTTTCGGGAATCTAATCCGGGCCGCCTAGCCCGTAGCCCGTCGCTATACGGACTGAGCTGTCCCGACTTGTAACGATATTCATTGAGTTTTGTAAGAAAATGGAAGTCGAATATTATTTTCTTCATCGCCAGTTTATTGATTTATGTAGCGGTATGGAACCTGAGTACACCTTGTTCTTAGCTTTGCAGAAGTTCTTTGGTTGAGTCGTGGTCTGATGGAAAAACGTATGTGTGACTTGAAGTTAGGAACTGAACTATCTGGAAGTCTCTGATGACGACTGGCTGTGCGACTTTGCGTCTTGCAGTGACACCACTCAACGCATGAGTGAAGTGTGTAGGCGTGCAAATAGCGAATCAACTTTCCATTGAAATGTTTCGACTGAATAACAGGGATCTAAAGGGTTCTGATGATGTATGACACTCGGGAGTACTGGGTTTTTGGACTTTGTCAATTGTTTCACATTCTGAAGAACACCGGACGATGGACAAAGTCCAATAACCCAGTAATCCATAATGGTGTAATTTATTTTCCCCCCCATGTTCAACAAATTTAAAGTCCGGCTATGGGTGGCTGATACAAGAATTTTGTGCCTGTGCTCAGCATCATGCATTGGAGGTGTCTGCGGGATTCAGATGCACGATGACTGTTGCACTTGATCATTCTCACGCTCCGGTAAAGGGCACTGGGTAGCCTTTGCTTAGAAAGCCTTGTGTATTCTAGATGTGATAGTAAAGAGAAGAACCAAAGACCTTGATGGGAATTGTGCCCAGGCTGCTGAGTCCCATAGCCTGTATTGACAGAACAACAGATCTGTGGACGCCTTTGAATTCTTAGAATCAGTTCATGAATATACTTTGTGGAAAATAGAATGAAATATCTGTTGTATTCCCGTGGAGCCAGCAATCCTTACAGTGCTACTAGCTGGCAGAATTTCCTGCTTTATTAAGGGAAGTCCTTATGCCAGTTTGATCTACCATGCTTCCTTTGTTCTCCTTCTTGATCAATCAGTACCCCTGGCCTCTCCTACAGCTTTCTTCCACTCTTCCGTATTCAAGGCCTCGAAGTCCAAGCACAGATCCTTGGTGACGCCATCCAATTATCTTTTTCTCGGCCTGCCAGGTTTCCTCCTGCCCCCTCTCTTTCTTGAAGTTTTATTTATTTCTGAATCTGCAATTATCACTAATCATTGCATCGCATAGTTTGTTAAAAGTCATTGGGAATGTACCGGTTTGTATTCCTAGTGTCCCTGGTATGTTCTAGTAAAGTTTATTCCAGTTAAAATGGGCGAGGAAGATAAACAGATCAACATAAATAACAGCAAAAGATCGGAGCAAGATAACAGTCTTCTGAGGCCTAGTAGATGGTTACAGGCATTTCAGTGGAACATGCTGCCTTATTCTCATGGTCGAAGAATGAGAGCCGGCTTAGCACAGAGGGTTTAAAGCAGTGGGATGTGTAGTATGCAGCCTGTCGTGTAATCGCAGCCCCCGACTTAGCCTAGTGCATTTCTTTCACATATATTGGCCTCAAGTTCATGGTGATGTAACCATTCAACTAATTCAAAAAGCCAAACCATTGTGTAGAAGAAGTACTCCTAGTAAAAAAGTGCCCATGTTACAGAATTTATGGTAGAAGCTCGTTTGCTGCATGCCATATTAACACACACAACGAGTGCATTTCGATCAGATATAAACCCAGAAACGATCCCTGAAATTTAGTATTAACTTGAGGTTCGTGTATGTCTCAAAATAACAGATCTTGTTTAAATAAATAAATAAATCATGGACTAACAGATCTTGTTTACCTCTCTTCTTAATTAATACCATTTTTATTTCCAGGTGTAGTCTTAGGAGCGATTGTCAGGATGCGGCCAAAGACCCTCTCTACTGGATTTCATACAAGAGCGGTCGATGTACCACCATCACCACTGTTACTCCAAATGAGCTGCAGCGCACGACTGCAAGAACGGTGAGCATTCAGCCCTTTGAGATACTGTATGCATGTGTTTGGAACTGTTGCAGTCAGTACACAGTTTACAAAGGAATGGCTGTGACTGTTATCTACGTAATTTTAATGGTAATGACCCTGAACTGCAGCAGGTTGAAACTAGTGCCACATCCAGTATTTTGCAGACAGATGCTGTTTATTGCTGTTTTTAACATTCTAGAAGCCACAACTTTCCATTTTTTTTTATCTAGACCAGTAGTGTGTGAGGTCTCAATAAGGCTGTTACGTTACAAGCAATTGATTAAGAACAAAATTTATATACTCATTGTTCAGTTCCAGATAGAACTGTACGTGTTTCAGTTTATGCTTAATTTATGAGAAACATCGATAAAAGAGAATGGTCTGCAAATATATTTTATATGCGCGAGTAAGTTCTTTTTTTAATCTATGATTCATAAAGTGTTTCGAATGGAGACGGTTTGGAATACTCCACCTTAGCCCCGCAAGTCATAGAAGGTGACGAAAAGGAAATCCGGTGCCTGGGCATATAAATGGGCGACGTACGAGTATATACAGTGACCTGGTCCCCCAAGATGGGGGTGGATGCAAGGCTGACGACCTTGCTCCACAAAAAAAAATTGTTGCTAATCCAAAGGAAATTAAAACCGCATGATCTAATTCACGACAACATGGCAGACTTCATCTTTGTTCCCACTTTGGAGCGTAGGACTGATTTCTCAGTTTCAGTGATCATTTTTACAGACGGTAGGACTGCTTGGACGGGCTATCAGCACGTCGCAAGGTCTCTACCTAAACACAGGACAACACAAACACAGAATAAACGCATACACACACCACACATCCATGCCTTGTGTGGGATTCGAACCCACGATCCCAGCTTCCGAGCGAGCGAACGAAGACAGTACATGTCTTAGACTTCTCGGCTACCATGACCGTCTTGGCAAAGTAAATAAGGACATGAGAATAAACACATGGAATGTCTCATCATTTTACAGACCCAGAGAACTTAAAATGTTATTGGACCAACTAATATAATGTCGCGTATCGGGCTTATATCGCGACAAATAAATTCTCGACGTATTCGATGTAGCGAATTTTATTTCACATCCGCTCTCACAATCACCCAAATTACAATCTGACGATCACTGCTATCTGCAGTATCACAAATAGTACACTCCAAATGCCACAATACAACTGACTGGTTGCTGGCTAACTCGACGATAGGTCCAGGACTCGCTGACTGACTCAGTACAACTCTGCGGTAGCCACACTAGAACTGGCTGTGAATAGCCTTCGCTTCTCCCTATGTAGCCTCGATCGGACAATACGGGAAAACGGCCACGTAATAGGCACCCTTGTAGCCACGCTGTCCGGTTACGTCACCGCTGTTGATTCGCCTTGCATAGTTACCAGGTTACGGGGCTCGGCTATCTTCGGCTCCGCTCGGCTCTCTTCGGCTCCGCTCGTGACGTCACCGCGCATGGCTGCCAGGATGCGGGGTGATTACTCGCCTATTCCGCGAGCGTTACGTTACCGCTGAGGGGTGGGAGGGGTCAACATGTCACA